TAGGGACTCTTAGGTATATAAATAGGGGGGGGGGGGGGCATAGGAGGCACCTAGAACCCACACCACAACAATCTCTCACCACACAAGAAGTTCCAAGAACTTCCCTAGGAGAAATCAAGAAAGAAGGAATCTTAAAGAAAGACCCTTCATAGCCAAGGAATTAATTAAGGCTAAGAGGTAACCCATGTCTCAACAAAACCTATTTTCTTAGCTATGATCTCCCTCTAGGCATCCCTCTACATTCTTGTGTATTGATGATTCGTTTATGATATTGATGGTGTGATCTTGATAATTGATGTTATGCTTTCTTGGGTACTCATGATAATCTTGATGATGGAAAGAGATTCTTGATGATTGTGTGATATTCTTGATAAATCGTATTGTTTCTTAGTGTTAAAAAATGAATTACGTTCTTGATGATTTAAATATAATTAGAGCCCTGGGATGTATCGTGAAACTCGTATGGTGTTATTCTTGATATATTGGGTGGGAATTCGTATGTTTGGGTGTTAATTATGTTTAGAAGGCATGATAGGATATGTGATGTATGTTTCTTGCTTTTGATCCGTTAATTGTCTACGTGTTATCATCAATTACGTTTAAAGGTGTCTAAGCATGGTTTCGGGTTCCACAAAGGTTCCTGGGGCATTATTTGTGAAAAAGAGTCAGTGGGGGGTAGGTGGGGGTAGGGGACCCGCCACCTACCCGCGGCCAGTTTTGACGTCGCCGGCAGCGGGCAGCCGGCGGGCAGGCGACTGCCCGCCAGGCACCCGCTACCCGAAATTTCGTCGCCGGCGGGTGACCCTTCACCCACCGGCTACCCGCTGGAAATAGTCCCACTTCGAGATCCCGGCTTCCCCGTTTGTTGTTCCCCCGACCCTCGTGGTGTCCCAACGGACTCCGTCTATCGTGCCTATGTCTAGTTTGATGTTTCGGGTGCCATTCGTAGGATGAATGAGTCTTATATATTACATGCTAGTTGAATTGGTATCCCGTTGGCCTAGGCGTAAGAAGTATGAACCCCTTAGGATTATTCTTAGTATGTGGATGATCACGCATAGGTTTCGTTATACGATTTCTCCCCCTTCCCAATGTGTCAATGTGGGTTGCATGTGTTTGCTATGTGTTATGTGTGCATGATTCCCCCAATTTGGTTGCGATCAAATTGGTTATTCCTGACCTACTGTTCAGACGCTCGCTGCGGTCAGATTTACACTCTCGGGCTGCGGTCCACCGTTTGGTTGCGATCAAACGTTTTACATGAGCTGCGGTTCATATTCCTGGCTGCGGTCAGATGACTACTCTTGGGCTGCGGTCCACTGTTTGGTTGCGATGAAACATTATGATGAGCTGCGGTTCATCGGTCGGTTGCGATCGACTGCTCCGTGTTGCGATACGGGGCAGGGTGCTGCGGGGCCGTGTCAGAGCTATATGCGCTGACCCTCATGTATGGGCATGCAATTGGTCCTGTGGCGCCAACAAAGTGTGCTATGTGATGAGATATGGATGGTTTGATGTTATAAATGTTATGAAATCGTGACCATAGGATACATGCTAGTAAATCGTATATGCTTGGTTATGACTATTGGTTGTACTTGTCTCTATCTGTCGAGTCTGTTCCCTATGCTTGTAAATTGTGTGACTGCTGACTGTGTTTATCCCCATCTGTCGAGTTTATTCCCTGTTTTAAAAGCTAGAGTCTCTTAGGATATATCTTCATGCTTCGAAATGGTTTTTCTTATATCTATGTATATATCTATATGTACTGTATTTCAACGCGTTGGAGTGGGTTACCAGCATCTCTCGCTGAACAGATATATTTGGCTTTCAGGCACAGAGGAGTAGACACTGGAGCGCGCTAGAGTCTTGGAGCGTAGAAGTAGATGGTTTCCCTTTTGGCCTGCGTGCCATGCTTATGCATTTACATTATTGAGGATATTAGTTAGTTAGCCTGTGCACCTGAGTTCTCTAGCTCAGGTGTGGCATAGCACCCCGTACTCTTTATGTTATATCTTGCGATTTAATGAGAATTTACCTTTATTATATAAGTCTTAAAAGTTTAAAAATTTCAGGGTGTTACATCTATTACTCGTCTATGATGTTTTGGATGTGCTAGAATTGCCTAAGATCATATTGCAGATGAGAAGAAACCATCTAGTGCACAGGCAGTGTGCACCAGTAGAAGCACCGGCCTCAACCAACGGCCCAACAAGGGGACCGTTGGCTAGAGTCGTTGCCAGCCGGGCCTAGGAAACGATCCTAGGAGAGGGTCGTTGCCTAGAGCCGGCATTTTGGTGGTTCGAGGGGGCGGGCCTAGTTAAGCCCCGCCCCAAGGTCCGTGAAGTTGTTCCCTGTGCAGTGGCCAGGCCCTTGCAGCTCAGCTACGTGTCGTTTCAGACCAGGTGTCATTGTGGCTCAGTACCTCGGGGCCATCTTGACGCACGTTTGGGCTTTGATTTCGTTGAATTTGGATTAGAAATGAGCATGTTATAGTAGAATTTGTGATGAAATGCTTCATAGAAATGTTTATCTGAGTTTTCTGCTTTTGGGATTTGCTTTCCTTTACTTTCCTGATGATATGTGAGTATTTGAATACAGATGCATGAACACTTTGTGAATAAGAGTTGTTAGAAAAGCGTGAGCCTAAATGGTTGGTTTTCGCAAGCAAAGTATGCCTAAAGTATTTACAATAAATTGTTGAAGTTCACTGCCAAATTCTTAATGTTGAGTATGTTTACTGTGAGTATATTTTTGAGTTCAAATAGCATGCTAACTACTTGCTAAGTGTATTCGAGAAGGTTTGTTAAGTTATGAGTTTCAAGCATGATTTATTGAATTGTTGAGTTTCACAGCAAATAGAAAGTAGAAGCATATGGTTACAGTTAATGCCATTTTGAGCATATCATGTTTTAAAAGTGCATAAGTGGCCAAAGTGAGCCTAAGTATTATTTTCCAAAAATCTCATTTCCATGTAGAGCATCTTTATCTTGTCCTTTGAGAATGAGTTGAGAAGTATGTGCATTTCTTTTTGCATAAGTTAAATGTTGCATATATGAGATGCATGAGTGATATATCTATATATATCTATGGTGAGGAAAACCTTGTTTTGGAGGACCCGTTTGGACTACGTCCTCTCAGATGGAAAGAAATGGACATTGCGGTGCAAGTATATGTAACGCGGCGTATTCCCACGTTACAAGGTTGGAAACTGCCCGCCAGGCTTGGAATATTGGTCAGGGGGTGTGTACGTTAAAAGTTCGATACCTGGATAGGTTCGGTGGATGAGATTGAGCATAGGTCGGCTAGTGGCCGTACCGGGATAGGTTCGTTCACGCTACGGTGAAGTTCCTACCTCATCCATTAGTAAAGAAAGCGAGTCATTGCGACTCTAAGAAAGCGAGTCATTGCGACTCTAAGAGAAAGCGAGTCATTGTGACTCTAAGAAAGAAAGAGCAAGCGAGTCCTTGTGGCTCTAAGAGACCTCCACAGAAAAGTATTTTATTTACAAACGAGTGTATAAGTATACTTATCCTATAGCATCGTATTGCATTCGAGTTTAGTAGTGCACGAGATTGCATAATGAGAATGTTGCACAAGATTGCATAACGAGAATGTTTGCACTAGATTACATATTGAGAATGATTACCCGAGATGGTATATTGAGTATGATTGCCTTAGTTGCATATTGAAGTTGATATCTCTTAATTGCATGTTGAGAACTTGATTGCATGAGATTGTTAAGGAGTTGTCCTATAGAGTTGAGTTTTGCTATGTTGTTTATGTGTTAGTATGATTATGTTGATAAGTTGTTTATTGATGAAGCATGCCTGTTGATATTATAAGTTGCGAGCATATAGAGAGCTTGTAATTTATCTTAAAGTTTATCTAGTTGTTGAGATTGCTTAATTTTAGAATGTGGGCAAATGTTTTTCCAAAGTATATACTGTAGTACTTTACAGGGTGGAGTGTGGTTATACTTAGCTTCGTGCTAACAGGTATTTTCTACTTGTCTACTTGTTGTTTTGCAAAACCCCTTTCAGGTGGGCCCAACGTCTGAGAGTTTTTCAAGTTAGACTAGTTTAGTAGATCTAATAGTCTAAACTCTATTTATTTTTATGATGTCATGATGATGGATTTTAGACTTATGTTATTTATGTTTGGTGATAGACACCGGGGTGTTTTTCCCCCAAGTGACTTTAATTAAGTAATTTCAATGTTAGTTTAACTTAATGATTTAGTTCTATCCTTAGCCTGTGCAATCACCGTGGAGAGGTGGTTGTGGCAGTGACATTCCCACTAGTTTGTTATTTAAGTTTGTTTATCCGCTGCTTAGTTTATCTTGATTTTGGTTTTAGAACTGTAAATAAGTTTAAGAAAAGTAGGGTGTTACAGGTAGCCCCACTATCTAATATCCAAGCAGCTTGGTTTTCAGAAGAGAGTTCAAAATGAATACCTTCAAGCTAGGAATTAGGAGCAAAATTGGCCGCAATCAAGTTGGCCTGAAAAAGTTGATTGGTGAGTCATGCTATCCCTCTGCAAAAGTTGTTTGATCAATCTGTACTCATCTTGGCTTAGAATAACAGAACCAGTATTGTTAGATCCAGTGTCTTCACTTGAAAACTGCTCATTGGTGTTGGTTGCAACTTGATTAGCAGAACCAACAACCTTATGTCTTGGTTTCCACCCAGGTGGATAACTATTCTTCTTGTAACATTTCTCTGCTATGTGTCCAGTAAAGCCACAGTAAGAACAGACAGGTCTCTTGTTATTATTGGAATGAAACTTCTTGAAACCTGGTCCATTGCTATGTGTGAGTAGAACACTGCCTACTTCTTGAGTTTGCATCCCAGTTACCCCATTGTTGAACCTTCGTTCTTGTTGTTAAACCATCATAAAAGCCTCACCAACAGTAGGAAGGGGTTTTGTCATCATAATCTGAGATTGAACAGACGCATAAGTCTCATTAAGTCCTCTTAAGAAAATTGAGAGGTTGTTATTTTCTAGGTGCTGCTGCAAAGTCTCCAATAATCCGAAATCACACATTTTATCACACTTGCATGTAGCCATGTAGGCAAGGGCCTGATGACTTGGAGCTCATCCCATAGATTTTTCAATTTTGCAAAATAAGCACTCACAGTTAAGTCACATTGTCTGATCTGATGAATCTCAGCATGTAGATCTGAAATTCTAAAGATATCTGCTTCGCTGAACCTGGCTCTTAGTGTGCTCCATATGCGTTCAGCTGATCCAACCCAAAGAAGTGTTGATGCGATCTCTAGGGAAATGGCTCTCATAATCCAGGTTGCCACCATATTATTGCATCTCCTCCAATAAGGATATTTCACTTCACCTACGTTTGGTATGGGGATTGTGCCATCCACAAACCCTAATTTGTTCTTGGACTGCAATGCCATCTCCATTGCCCTGGCCCAAGGGTGATAATTTTGGCCACTGAGAACAGTTGAGACCAGAATTAGTGAAGGATTCTTGTTCGGATGCAAGAAATAGGGACTGACAGCGTCGTTCGGATCAAAAATCGTTGCGGCGGGATTGACGTTCGCCGGTGCTGGTGGAGCAATCGAGGTTCCTACTACAGGTGGGGCAGCCGAGGTCCCAGGAGGTCTAATCGATGCGTTTTTCCAAGCCATGGATGCTTATGGCTCTGATACCATATTACAAAATAGAATTCAGAAATTAGACAATGGAGAAGAAGATACAATAGGCTTATATACAATGGCTACTGATCTAACAGTACTAACAGAAAGGAAAGAATAGTACTAACAGTACTAACTAATTTCTAACCAACCAACTTAACTAACTTCTTCCCTTCTCTTCTAATAAAACGCCCCCTAAGAGTATGAAGTACCTACCTAGAATAGATTAGTAGTAAGTACCGTAAGTTCTCATCATTAAAATATTTTGGCATCTCTCAATATCTCAAAGCTGAGGTACATATTGCTAATTTCATAATTTGATTTCTTTCCCAGAAAGAAATATTTTTATATAGCGATCGATCGTGGTAATATAATGTAAAGTTGGTCTTATATAGCAAACCAAACTAAATTTGCGTGTCATTGAAAATTTTGTGAAGGAACTAATACATATATGCATGAATATTCATGTGTTGAGAAACATGTCATATTCATGCATTATTGCATTAAGAAACATGTCATGCATGCAAAAGATCGCAAATCTAATTAAGCCTAAGAAAAATCATTTGCACGTGTATAATTTATTTTCGTAGTTATACACTAAAAATAAATGTGACTTTTTTTTAGTAGTTTAAACAAATATTTCTTTCTATTTAGGTATATTTTCATTGATTTTTCTCTATATTTTGGTATTTTAAAAAAAAAATTTATTACTCAAATTTTAACTTTTTGGTGATATTTTTGTGCAATTCAGAAGGTTATATCAAATTTTTTTTTTGAGAATTTTAACATTGATTGATGTCTTTGATTCCTATTCACTCAGCCATCATAGTAAAATTGAAAAAACTCAAATTATTCATAAAGATTGCACCGCTAGAATTGCAGGCCCTGTATAAAGAAGAGTAGAAATTTATAGTTTTTGATATTTTATGGGGTCCTATATACGGTGAATTACTATTGACTTTAATTTGTTGACATAGTTGTTTAATCTAGTACGTGTTGTGTTAGACATATTTTGGTTAATTGTGTTTAATGTGCTAGTGTTGTGTTTTAACGACAATTTGTCCTGTCTGCTGATGAACCATTGAGTCATCATGATTTACATATTCTCAAATATTCTGTCAGACCAGCTGTGGTACCTTTTAAGGAGAAACCGAGAAAGAATAGAAAAGATGAATGATGATTTCTAATACAATTGAAATTGTTTCTCAGTGCAATGTTGTCAACCTAAACAAGCAATATAATTAAGTTTTGTAAAAGTAGTATCTTGATAAATGATAATGTTGTACTAAACTATATAAATTTTTTTAGGAAAAGGACTAAATTAACTAAATTTATATAGTGGAGAGATCTTTCATTTTTTGGGTGAAAAACTCATGATTTTTTACAAGGTAATGTATGTTCTATACCATTTCAATCTTTGTCGGTCCAAAGAATGAATTGCACTTGAATTTGATCTTGTGACCACACATTTAGAATGGTAAAAGATGTGTTTTGACCTCAAGCTTCCTTGTGGGGCGAACATTATTTTTACAAGGCAATAAACGTACTTCTTAAGTTCTTATTAGGACTCTATGTATTTCAGTCAATCTAGAACTCCTACTCCTAGTTACTATGTGACTCTTTACTGTATATATTCCTATCACCTGAACTCATTGTAATCATGTTCTGTTAATACAATTCCATCAGTTCTCATCTGGTATCAGAAAGCTAAGGTTTTCTCTCTTCCCCATGTATGACGGATCTGTTAATTCCTCTGAACGTACCGTTTCTGATGCTACTATTTCCTCCAGTACTTCTCCAATAATAACATCTTTGTCCACCGCCCACCACTTCATTAGCACAAACCTAACCTACAAGAATTTCTTGTTTTGGCGAACACAAGTTGTTTCATTTTTATACGGACATGATTTAATGGGATTTATTGATGGCACAAAGCCATCGCCGCCTGCACTCCTTCCGGCCGCCGACGATACCGCCGACTCCTTCCCACGGCCGAATCCTGGGTATGGATTATGGATGCGCCAAGATCAAGCATTATTGTCTATGCTTGTCTCCTCCCTCTCCGACGAAGTTATGCCCCTAGCCGTTGGTCGTCGTACGAGTCGTGCCCTTTGGGAGGCTATCGTGCAAGCTCTATCCTCTTCCTCATGAGCTCGCACTCTAAATCCTTTTGGTCAGTTACAAGGTTTAGATCAAGGTGACTCATCCGTGGCAAACTACATCGGCCGTGCACAGGTAATCATTGAGGAACTAACCCTAGCCGTCCAAACCGTAACCCTAGATGATCAAAATCTATTCATCTTTCGCAGTTTGAGGCCGTAGTTCCGGGCATTGACGGTCTCTCTTTCCGTTCAAGGTCAACCAGTAACCCTTCAAGAGTTGGCGGACTTCCTCGGTGCCAATGAATTTATCTCCAGCCGGGACTATGGTGGTCCCTCGGTGATATGAACCAAATCCAAGGTTCAATTAAGATGAAATATTGTCCCAAAAATGCTCTCAAAAGTAAAGATAGAGATGGATCAAAGTACCTTAAACCTCACGAGAAACCCTTTGTCTCGAATCCCATTGTAGCTTCAAGTACGTCGATGTTGCAATCTTCAATCAACTAGAGTCGAATCTAGTTTCCTTCGATTCAAGAACGAGTCCACGAACCTAAATCTAAGGTTAAAGAAAGTAAGATTGATTCGAGTCCACGAATCAATTTGCTAGTCGAGTCCACGACTAGCCACTAATTGAGTCCACAATCAGCCTTAAGGTTTCTTACACAAGTGTAAAGAAAAACTTAAGAATTTTATTGAATTAAAGCCTCCTTAAAATTGATATGGATGTGCCCTATTTATAGGTATAGGGCAGCATTGTAATCCTAAATACAATGGGAAAAAGAGTCCTAAACCTAATATAGAAAGCAAGTAAATATAGTCCTATTTAGAAAGGGATTTAAGGAATCCTTTCTAAATACAAACTATTTAGAAAAGGATTTAAGGAATCCTTTCTAAATGCAAACTAGTGTTTTCTCTTTAATGCCAAACAATTTAAAATAATGATGACCAAAAATAATAAAGCTGATTTGGGCCTAATTTAATCTCCAAAATCAGCACTTAAACAATTACAAAAAGCCTTGAGTTCTTCATCATCTTTTGCAAATGGGCTTGACTTGGATTTGCACCATCTTTGATCATAAACCAATGAAGAGTTTTCTTGATTGTTTGAACTTGGATCTTGTGATTGGTCCAAATGGTACTCTTGATGGATCTTCATTATGTTGGGCCGCATCACCCGGCGGCATTGGCGGTTATACGTGGTGGCGGTCGGTCAGGCCGTGGTGGTCAAAAGACTCAAAACCGCGCCGGAAATCAACGAGGCAGCGACGGAAATCAGCGTCGCAGTGGCGAAGGCCGGCAACAAGGTGGTTGCGGTCGTGGCAATAATGGAGGAGGTAATCAGGTCACGTGTCAAAATTTTAGACGGATCGGTCACGAAGCGGTTGCATGTTACAATCGGTATGATCCACCATCTCAGGCCAATATCACCTACCCAAACAATTCAGATATTAGTGGGTCTCAGATGTGGATTCCAGACACTAGTGCTACCAACCATGCTACCCTAGATATTGCTGCCTTAACCACTTCGGAGGAATATATTGGTAACGACACTTTACGTGTCGGTGACTGTATGGGTTTATCTATTACTCATGTTGGTCATGCTTCTTTCAATACCCCTTCTTGGTCTTTTCAATTGTCTGATATTCTTCATGTTCCACGTTTGTCAAATTCTTTATTATCTGTTCAAAAATTTGCATATGATAATAAAGTCTTTTTCTTTTTAGTTTCAACCCACCTTTTTGTTGTGAAGGATATAAATACCAAGGAAGTTCTTTTTCGGGGCAAGAGTTCTGGGGGACTATACACTCTACCGCTGGCAAACATGTCTCCTTCAGCTTTCTTTTCAGCCCGTGCCTCAACATCAGTTTGGCTCAATCGTCTAGGTCATCCTCATCATCGTGTTCTTAGTCGTATTCTTCAGTCTTTTTAGTTCGTGGATCTTTAGTTAGTTGTGCAAATAATTTATGACACAATGAGGGAACGCTACCCCGAACTTTTCACACCAGGTAACTAAGAGAAAGTCACTCGGCAATGACCAAGCTTCGGGGACGAAGCTTCCCGATAAAGGGGGGAGAGTGTAACACCCCGTGTTATGACCCCTAAGATCAATTAAATCATTTAATCAATTACCCCAAAAGAAAGAATTAAATCACAATAATTAATTAGGAAGGCCCACCATAGTCCACGGGCCCTTATCCCTAAACTCAATCCTTAGTCCCAAAAGAAATAGAACTAGCAAGCCCATAATATTAGTTCCTAACTAGGACTCCTAAATATATAAATAGGGGACTTAAGAGGCACCTAGAAACCCCCCCCCCACCACATTAACGCCCCACCACCCAAAGAGCTCCAAGAATCCCCTTAGAAGAAATCAAGAAAGCAAGAAAGCTTAAAGAAAGACCCTTCATAGCCAAAGAATTAATTAAGGCTAAGAGGTAACCCATGTCTCAACAAAACCTATTTTCGTAGCTATGATTTCCCCCGTAGGATTTCCCCATATTATTGTGTATTAATGACTTGTGATGATTATGATTGATGATTGATGTGATGATCCCATGGGGGATCTTGATAATCTTGATATTGGGAGATTCTTGATAATTATGATGTTCTTGATGATTATATGGAGTTCTTGATGATTATGTGTTGTTCTTGATAATTGTATGATGCCCTTGATGATTATGTGTTATTCTTACCGAATCTTGCAATTAGAAGGCGAATCGTATTCTTGTTGATATAAAAGTGATTAGAACCCTAGGTTGTATCGTATGATGTTATTCTTGGGTTATCGAGTGGGGTAATCGCATGTTTGGGTGTTGATTATGTTTAGAAAAGCATGATAGGTTATGTGCCGTTCGTTTCTCGTATTTGATCCGTTAATTGTCTACGTGTTGT